AGTCTTATCACAAGGATATGGTTCCAGATCTGGACCTCTCTAGGTCCCCAATGGCATAAAGTTGCTCACTTTATGCAGCCTAGCCCCTTTCTATACACAAAAACCTTCTGAGAAGCTTAGTTTTGATGTTATGGCCTTGAAGGGCCTTGCATGCACGTAAAGTTTGCAACTTTACGTGGTATCTGCACTAAGGGAGTTTGGATCTGGAGTTTGGGACCTTAGATCCTACTGAAAAAGGGCTGAACTTGGAAAGGACTGAAGGAACTCGTTGAGTCCATTAGCTGACTCGACGAGTCGGGGTAGGGTTTGCTCGCTCTTGAGATTCTGGATGAGTGCGGTGAAGGATTAGGGTTTTGGTCTGAATGGACATTAGTTTTCTGGATATTTGATGAACTCGACGAGTCACTAGGGTGACTTGGAGAGTTGATACGAGATTCAGTGGAATGGACTCGTGAGGAACTCGACGAGTTTTTGGATGCACTCGACGAGTTGAGGTCAACATGGATTGTTGCCCTTGACTTTGACCAGGGTTGACTTTGAGGGTAATTATGGAATATGTCAAGTTAATCACATATTGGTTATAGGCAGTTGAGGAGGAGAAGTGCGTGGGATACATCCGATCTTAGTTGTCAGTTCAACACTTGAGAGGTGAGTCTTCTCACCATACCAATGGGTCTAAGGCACCAAGGCCGACCCATTTTATGATATGTGGATTGTTGATTGATTATGCGTTATGTTAGTATGACATTTGCATAGAAGACCCCGGGGGGTTCCCGTGGCAGTAGTCTGAGACCACGTGGGGGTCCCCTTGGCCTTTGGTATAAGACCTTGGAGGGTTTCCATGACATCCTAGTATATTTGCATGTGTAGTTTTCATTATGTCTTGTTTGGTAGTGAAGACCATGTGGGGGTTCCCATGGCAGGAAGACCATGTGGGGGTTCCCATGGCAGGCAGTTAAGACCATGTGGGGGTTCCAGTGGCACTAGGTGTAAGACCCTGGAGGGTTTCCATGGCTTCCTTATATGTTGTATGCATGGCTTATGTTATATATGTAGCTTTTATAGCTAACTTGATATGTGTTATGTGGATTGTGTGTGGGGTATGCTCTGGGGGACTCGCTAAGCATTAGCTTACAGTTTGTGGATTTGTTTCAGGTACATCTGAGCCCAAGGGCAAGGGCAAGGCTTGATGGCACGACGTGCACTCTCTCTCGGGCATTTTATGGGACACTCTGATGTTTAGAAATAATTTGAAAACAATTGTATTGAGATTTCATGATTTATGGAAAAGTGTTTGACTAATTAAAAATGATAAAAAAAATCTTTTGAAAAATTGGGTCGTTACAAGTACGAGTCTGGAATGCCCTTCCCGGCCCTCAGCTCGTATCTGGAATGCTCATGAGTCCTCAATATGAGTCTGACATGCCCTCCCTGGCCCTCGGCTCATATCTAGCATATTCCAGGGTTTGTTGGCTACAACACGGAGCAGTACAACCTCAACCCAGCCCACACAGTATGTCGACATATAACAGATAATATCATAAACAGATAAACAAACAGTATCATAGGTAGTCCTACAGATCTACCAGACTAACATATCAAGACTAACATGCATATCTATATCATACTCAGCATATCAACAATATCAGGTTATCAAACCAATGGGCCGGCCTTGGTGCCTTCAACCCGAAAGTATAGTGAGGAAAACTCACCTCACAAGTAGCTGAACTGATAAGATCTAACTCCGAATATCAGCTCCTGAATCAAATGCCTACAACCACCATGTGACCAATTCCATCAAAACCCTGAAATACCCAAAATGCTCTCAAAGTCAAACTTGGTCAACCATGGTCAAAATCAAAGTCAACGGTCAAGGTCAATAGTCCATGTTGACCCAACTCGTCGAGTGCACCCACCGACTCGTCGAGTTTCTATAGTATTCAGAAGGTCTGGAAAACCCTAGCCAACTCGTCGAGTTAGCTGGAAAACTCGCTGAGTTTTCCCAGCTTAACACATTCAACTGATTTCTTCGATTCCAGGGACTCCAAGGCTCAGATCTAAACTCACATGTCCAAATGCTCAAAAACCCTTCCACCATGCTTAAAAACTCAAAGGCTTAACCATTAAGCACAAAATCCTAGAGATCTGGAACCCAACTTTTCCAGAAGAGATTCTAGCCTAAAAAACGTCCCAAACGTTGGTGCTTTATAGACATGCATGTCCAATGCATGTATTGAACCCAAAATGGGTCAAAAGAGAAAAATATGACCTAAACTCCATGCATGGCATCAAAGCTTGGCTAAAGACCAGATCTAACCCACTATAAGGTCACCTTGACCTGGAGATTCATAAAGTTGCAAACTTTATGAAGTCCATCCATTGCAACATCCAAGAATAAGGAGAAAAAGGGACAAAACTCAAGATCTAGCTACATAGATAGATAAAAATCAGATCTTGAATACTTACAACAGTCCAAAAGAGTGCCAAACTGAAGATGAGAGCTTAACTTGCTAGATCCTTGCTTCCTTCTTCCAACTTCTTCTCATTTTGCCCCAAAAGAACCACACTAAGACACAAAATGAGAGGGAAGGGTGGTTAGGGTTCACTAGGGCCGCAAAAGGGTTTGGAGGCTGATAAAGGATCAACCCTAGGGACTTAAGGGGATTAAATAGGGTGCAAAACCCTAAAATTTAGGGTTTCTCCCCCATCCGCCAACTCGTCGAGTTTTCCTCACCAACTCTTCGAGTTGGTCCAAAAAGATAAGCGGCCCAAAATCCTTTCAACACGTCGAGTTGAGGCCATCAACTCGACGAGTTCCAAGGGAAACTTGCCTTTTAAAGAATAAATCTCATACCTGGAAATCGGGATGCTACATTATCCTTAGTATGATAGAATAAGAATTGGACATTTGATTATGGGTTATTACCCTAGTTATAAATCAGGATTGATCTTTGATATGCTCAGTGTAAGAAGCTGTGGTAGTAGCACCGAGTGTGTGATTTGTTGACATCAGATTAAGGTGAGTCTCCTCACTATACTTGTGGGTCGAAGGCATCAATGTCGGCCCACTAGAATGTGTTAGGTAGAATGCTTGTTGTCTTTGTGACTCTTGCATTGTATGTTGGATGGGCCCATGGGCATGCATGTAGGGCTAGGCCCGTTTCATGATAGGGTTGGGCCCATTGTATGTTGTGCTAGGCCTATTGTATGTCGGGCTAGGCACAAATGTATGTTGGGTTGGGCCCATTATTTAGGAAGGGCTAGGCTCATTATTATGGACTGGGCCCAATGTGCGGTCTAGAACTAATGATATGTATGGTATGTGGTATTTTAGGGAACTCACTAAGCTTTGTGCTTACAGTTTTATGGTTATTGTTTTAGGTACTTCTAGTTCAAAAGGGAAGGGCACGATGTGACTGTACAACATCCCTCAGAGTTTATTCCGTATTTGATTAGTCATTATTTTTACTATGATGTTTAAATACTATTCTTAATGTTGAATGATTTTGGGAATAGAATGTTGTATGAATTAATGTTTTAAAAATAAGAATTTTCCTATAAATTTTTGGGACGTTAAAAAAAACTATCTAAGTTAAGTCCAAATGAGTTTTAAACTTATGGCCTGGCTTAATTTGATCCACACTTATATGAAAGTTCCACTAATGAACATTTTTACTCTAGTGAAAAAAAAACAAAAAAAACAAAAAACAAAAAAATGATAACATGATTTAATTTTTTTTTTCATTTTTGTGATAAATAAGTTGATTTGTTAATTTTAAACAACAAAAAAGAATTTTTTTATCTTTATTATTAACTATTGTTAAACATATAATTATAAGACAAAATTGCATAAATAGTCAATATGGTTTACCAAATATCACAAGTTTAGTCCTTGTTAATTTTTTTATACAAATTGTCCTCATGGTTTCTAAACTTGCACGGATAGTCCACGTGGTTTCTAAAAGTTACACGAATTGTCTTTGAGCTACATAAAATGATTTTTTTGCCATTTTATGAATTATTTTATAACTTTTTATACTAACATTAATTAATAAAAAAAAAGTAAACCTTTGCCTACCACCCCTCTTCGCTTTTCAAAATCATACAAGGAAAAGAAGACGCAAACATCCATCTTTTATTGTTAGTGTGTATCCGACTGCACAAAGAGAACCTCCCATTTGTGCCCTTCTATTGTACTGCAACTACAAAGAAACAACATCAAATCAATCGATTCATAGGTGTACAAGAGTAACAAAGAACATGTGAGTTTGATGTAGATGGTGATATAAAAAAGCATTTTCAATATGTATCCATGGTTCTAAACGCATTTGAGATTTACATTGGCACATGATTCTTTTTGAATTTTCTCATGAACTACTGAAAAAAGGAGAGTAGAAACCAAATGAATTCCTTAATTTTTCGTAAATTGTCGTCAAGTGTTTTTGTAGTGAGATCAATATTAATGTTGAACAAGAATGACTATGTAGATCTATACAATGTTTTAATGTTGCCAATTGGCATAAATCATGAATATTTCGAAGGTTGTTCTACTTCAAAAATTATCTCCCACGAAGATGACGAAAGAACACGGGATGATATAGAGGATGAATAATAACCTGACTTCGACAATGTTGATAGAGGCGGTCGATTGAAGGTCATGGTGAAGATAATGGCTCGATGGTTTGGGTATTCTTATATGGATCAGTACCAATCTCACATGTTTTTAGAAACCACAAAGATTCTGTTCGTCAAAAAAAAATAACAAAGACTAAGTTTGTCACATTTAATAAACCACAAGGACCATTTATGTAAGTTTGTCTAATATATAATACTATTAATTCTTTGTTCCTCTGTCAACAGTAAATTATTTCTATTGGACCGCTTTTAATTCTTTTTTTTTTTTACGCCTCCACCGCCAGGTTCTTACTCGCCCACAGATATCCACCGCCTTAATACATCGATATCCACCGCCTCAATACCTCTCAACAAACCAGGAGTCGATGACACACCATCTGCCTCAACCTCTACCAGTTCGATTGAAGCTTCTGTCACCGACGACGATTAAAGTTCCATCGGATCAAACCTTTATTCACTTCGGAACGGTAGAAAGTCCAGGTGGGTAAGTCGTCGTCGATTAATTGCTTTTCCAAGACCACCGGTCTTCTTCCTCAGTTCAACCGACTGAAAAACATTTGCAGTTGTCGTTGATTCATTGCATTTCCATGACCACGGGTCTTCTTCCTCCTCTGCCCATGATACACCGCCTCTGATGTCCATTACTCCAAGTATTTTTAGCATCGACTCCAAAAAAAATATTATTCCAACCTTTTTCTCCATGGAAGCGGATAACCTTCGTCCCTTCTCCGATTCCGTTTCTCTGTTTTGAGTTTATTTGGAATCCCCACCCAATCTCAAATTCATCTTCCGTCTTTCACCCGAACTCACATACTCTCTCATACGCTCTTTCAAACCATTTGATTTCATGTAATTTAGGGTTTATATTGACTGTTAAGATGATACATGCATGACGGGGCCAGGCTCTTGAGGGATTACGGGAGTTGCCGGAGAATATTAGGCTTAATGAAGGTATCGCTTCCACCAATAGGAGGTGTCGATGATTGGGTTAGCTGTGTTCGATTCAGCCCTAATACATTGTAACCAACAATTATTTCAGCTTCTTGAGATAAGAAGGTGAAGGTCTGAAACCTCACTAATTGCAAGCTCAGTTGTAAGAGTACAAGGACCCTTTTGCTTTTATATATACTATAGATTACTGAATTCTCAAACTGTTATGTTGATTTCAACAGTAAGAAAAAGAGAATTTGCTGGCGACCAGGGTGGAGTTTGGATTGATTACCACCATACTTTTAAAAGGGTAATATTGTAATATTTCTTTCTGTGAAAAATATTTTTATTACTTTTATTCATTTCTATATGTTTTGTCTATCTGTTGTGGTTAATGATTTGTAGTTAATGATCAATTTCCCCTTATCTAGCTTATAGAATCTATCAACAAACTCAATTGTTTTTGGTAGTCATTGTTGAACTCCATCTCATCCATGTGATGAGATACTTACCTGCAAAAAATGACAATTCCATGTTCTATATACAAAATCAACTGCCAAGATCATACAAATTACTTTTTTTTTGTCATGGGAATCAATATTATACAGATTAATTTGTTTTGTTTATGGAAATCGGTATTAATTGCCACATAATATAATTATTGACCAATTTTCCCTTGTGTAACTTATATCTTTAAAAAAAATGTTTTTTTTAGCTTTTGTAGCTGATATCACTTATAAGTTCTTCAAGGGTAATATTGGAATTTGTGGTTCATCTCTGTGGATATGGAAGCTCCTGCTATTGCTTTTACTATTATGGTTTTGAAGTCCCTTACTATTCATGTTTTTTGTTGTACTTTTTGATGTAACTGTTTATTATAAAGGAGTTCATGGTGAGGAGCTTTATCTTAATTCCATTGTCGAAATATTTATATGCACATTTGACAATATTGCTTAATTTTTATTTTTATTTTTTATAAATTTTCAGATGACCTGAATGAAACTTATTTTGTTGGTAATGTTGATGTTGATGATTCATCTCTATGGTTGGTCAAATGTACTTATCAGTGCTTTGAAAAATCAATAGCTATCGGTAAGTATTGCTCATCATTGTTTTGGTTTGGATGGAATGGAATGTGATGTAATGACAAAGAAATGAATGGAATCAACAGTTCCATTCCCTTGTCAGTTTCTTCCCACCAAACATTTCCTAATATCTTTATTCAGTGTGACCATTGATGAATTTCTGTATTTTTTTTTTTTTGTCTTAATTTCAGTTTTACTCAATTGTTGTGTTGCCACTAAATTGGATAAAGGTCTGAGTATTTTCGGTTAATAAACAAGTTTCTTTTTTAACAAGCAATTTCCTGTGTTTTGTTTCGATTCTGAAGGGGAATGAGGTGGATGGTGTAAATGTGAAGGAATTTTACTTCAGATGGGTGTGTTCATGACATGGAATTGTGCTTAGATTAGATTGAATTCTTTCTATACAAAAGATTTTAGCCATGCGGAGCCAAACGAATGAGCTTGAAAAGGTTTTATATTACTCTCTAACTATTATATAATTGATGGTATATTGTTTGGTTTTAGGCACTCAAATATTTTTCTCTTTTACTTTGCTTAGTTCTTGGTTGAAGATGGACTGTAAAAAGAATCTGCAAGAGGCTATAAAAAAAATAAATACTGGCCTGTTATAGAAGGCAGATCCTCAGTTCATCAGGTATAATTTCTTTGCTGATCGTTGGCTTATTGGAACAACTATTGTCAATTTTACTGAGTTCCAATGCTTTTGTTTGCCTATTTTCAATGATTTTAATGGCCACTGTATTTTTTGTTGATTTTGATCAATTTTCTGTTCACCTTATGTGAATATGATATGTAGAGGACTATTCAATAATTTTACTTTTTTTTTTTCTCAATTTTTACACCTGCCAGTCCAATACATAATAGCCTCATTTCTACTTTGAACTGTGACTCTTCTGCAATCTTAATTTTTGAAACAAAACCAGATATTAACAAACAACTTTTTTGTCCCATTTTTACATCTAAATCAATGTAATTGTACTAGCTAGCTATAAGAAAATGACTTTTTTGTAGCAACAAAGGGTTTACTATGACGGGAAAAACATTGCTGTTATCAACTATGAACATTAGTATTTACATCCAAATTTTAGGATTAATTTGCTTTTTATGAATTTTCTTCAAATATGTAAAATGTAGAATCAAAAATGGCTTTACAAATGTGTGACAAGATCCATGGAGACGTGCTTCAAAGCAAGTGTCATCTACAGAAAAATCAAAGTTTCTACATGCGATTTTTCCGTTACATAAAATTTTTATTGTTTTTTTTTTTTTAAGATTTTGAATTATGAAATAACATGTTCTGATAGCTCTTTTAAATTTCCGCCTTTGTCGTCATGGACATATCTAACTTGATGCTAAACTACAACAATGATTCTTTTTACCTGTAACATAATATAAACCTAAAAAAATACTCATTTATCTAATCCTACTACTATGTTTTCTTTTTTAATATTTTTTTCTTCTGTCGTGATTGCCTTTTTTAAAATTTTAATAGGAATTATAGCTACAGTGACTATTTTTATTTTTTTTTAGGTCACATCACTTTATGAAAACACTCTTCATCATATGAATCTTAATTTGTTGTTTTGGCATTGTTAAATTTTGTATTTACAGAAATGACCGGTTGTTGAGAAGATTCCTTTTCATGTGAAAACAACACTGATGGGATTCTGGGATGGACAATTATATTTACTTCAGGACAAAGAGATAGAGCATACAACAAAACTCATCATAGTTTCATTTGTTTTGGAATTTATTCTTCAAAAATTGTTTAAATGACCATTAAAGGGGCTGTTTTCCTATTTTTGTAATATCTACTCTTAAGTGCAATCCAGTTTCGCATATAAGTGCATTATGTTGACCCATTAAAAAAAAAAAAAAAAAAAAAACCCTTCTAGTTATAATTATAATTTTATTTAAATTATATATCTAACCAAAATGATAATTTTCAACGTTTCAACTATAACAATAATTTGTTTAGGATGTGTTTGATTTGCCTTTGTGTCCAAAGGTGGACCACGTCCAAAATATCCAATTGTCATGTTTGATACCCTTTCTAAAATGTTGGACTCAATCCATGGATTTTTGTTAATGCGGTCCCCTATGCAACATTGAAAGACAAGGATAAACCTTGGACGAAAATCAAGTATTCCCATTATGGCCTAATCGTTCGTTGCTTCTACTGAAATAGAGAAACGGAGAAGAAATCAATTCCACAATTCAGCCTCCGACTCCATAGCTTCCGCCGTCTTCCTCCGACCATGCAACCTCCAACCACCCTTCTTCCGTCGTTCTTGCGTGAGTCAATTTCGTCAAGCAAGTTAACTATTTAAAGTTGCAACTTGGTTTTGGTCTATTTGTTGTATCACCAAATTGATTCATTTGTTTATTGTAAGTAGCTAAGGGAAATCACCAGATTGATTCATTTGTTTGTAAGTAGCTAAGCCAAAGTACCAATGAATTGATTCATTTGTTTGTTGTATCATCAACTCCAATCAAAGGGTAACATACTTTATTTCATGTTTACATTTAAGCCATAATGTTTTTTTGTACTTTCTTTGCCATTGAACTTGTTCACCATTTCAAAAAAAATGTAATATTACTGGTTGTTAAACATAATATTACCATTTTATTAACAGGTGAAACAAGAAAAATGGTCAAATATGTAGGGAAAAAAACATCCATGTCTTCATAAGAACACAAACAAAATATGTTTACCTTTTCAAGTCAAAAGAAAACTAAAAAATCAAAAACTCAACGCAGGCAATGAGGTGTAATCAGGATGAGTGAAAAAGCTTCAAAACAAAAATCTCTACCACAATACAGTTCTGAACTGGTCGACAAAGAAGAGTGTCTGGCATAACAAATTTAAAAAGCCAAAAAAAAAAAAAAACAAACATAAAAGCAAAATCAACTTGTCTGATCAGCTCAGTCTTCCTCTTCACCCTCATTCTCAGCAATGTTGAAGTACCTCAATTCATACACATTGCGATCTTTGTTGGATGCAATCACTCGGAGCCAATCTCTCACATTGTGTTTCTTCAAGTATTTCTTCGTTAGGTATTTCAGATACCTGGAAAACAATACAATACAAATTAATAAACCATATCGCAATCAACACAATGTTCTAACAATCATGTATAATTTTTTTCAAATTACCAACAAAAATCAACACTACATTCATCATCTGAAAACTACCAATCAATGCATAAACAATAAACAACATACAACAAACCAGTAGATTGTTTTCAGGAATAATCTTAGCCAAGACTTCTAAACGGATCGAAAAGTGTAACTTAGCCTCTAACGAATGTTATAACTAACAAATGTGTAAAATAATGTGCCAATCAACAAATCAAGAAAAAAGAAATGTAGTTCAAGGGAGATTCGAGTAAAGCACCTTTTGGAGAAGTTGCTATCGGAGGTGACGGAGATCTTGTTCTTTTCGCGTGAAATGGTAACAGAGTCACCGAGGTTACCGGCCTTGCCGCCAACCTTGATTCTCTCCTGAAGAAACTTCTCAAGTGATGCAATCTCCATAATCTTGTCTTCAACAGGCTTTCCACAATCAATCACAAACGTCGATGTCTTCTTCTTTCCGCCCTTGGCTCCCGCACCTCCTGCTCCACGACTCATCTTGCTCCTGCTTCAAAGAGATAAAGAAAAAAATGATTCGGATTCTTACATCAACATCTTCAGAATTAAAATCAATCAAAAAGACATGAACATAAAATTGAAATCCATGAACATACCTCTGGATTCGATGTCGGCCTCTGCAACTAGAATGCGATATGAGCTGGTAGAAGACGAAAGAGGTCGTTTAGGGTTTTAAATTAGGTTACTCAGCCAGTTGGGTCGAGCACGGTTTATTCATTTAGTTAAAACTTAAAATCAGCCCATTTCTTATAGACTGGGCCAAGATTCCAAATCTTTGACGTTGCATAGTCTTTAGATTTTTTTTTGGGCATGTAATATTGGCATATATTAAGATGCATTTGGTTTGTTCTAGATGATTAAACTAAGAAAGCTATTTTTTTAGGGAAAATAATTCAAGAGGATAATGAACCGTTGATTTGTTCATATTTAGTTTTTTTTTTGGTACACCATATATCATCCAACTTGTTAGACCTGTTTACATATTACCCTTACGACTTGCTACTGTAGGTAAAAAGATAATATGTGAACAGTTTCATCAAGTTGGATGATATATAGTGTGCAAAAAGAAAAATACTAAATGTGAAGGAAAAAGAACTTCATTCACCACGTCCAACCACCTCCTTCACCGCCACCTCTACTACCACCACCACCTCCACATTCGCATTCGCCACTACCACCGCTTCTTCATCCACCTCTGCCACTGCCTCCACCACCACCTCCACATTCGCCTTCGCCACCATCATCTCCACCACCAGCTCCACATTCACCACCGCCACCTCTACTACCACCACCACCTCCACATTCGCATTCGCCACTGCCACCGCTTCTTCATCCACCTCCGCCATCGCCTCCACCACCACCTCCACATTCGCCTTCGCCACCATCATCTCCACCACCAGCTCCACATTCACCACTGCCACCATCACCACCACCACGCTTATAACATGCCAAAAATACCAATAAAATTTTCATTTTTTAAGTAATAAAACCATTCCATAAACATCACAAGTCAAGTAATCCAAAACATGAGTATATTATTTTTATAAAAATATCAGAGTAAATCCCAAAATCTCGTAGTGCGGAAATCATCGGTGGATGCAATGCAATCAAGCTGGCTCCTTTCCCCTACTATTGGAAGTACCTGAAACATTTAAACTTAAACTGTAAGAACAAAGCTTAGTGAGCTCCCTAAAATACCACATACCATACATAACAGTGGTCCCTGTCCTAGGGGTTTATTTCAACCCCTGTGCATGCTATGATCCCACCATAGTCTTATAGACACTTTCGTTGCTATAGTCGCGCTGCAGTCTTTCCCGCCATGATCCCACCATGGTCTTCCATTCAAGTGTTGTGATCCAACCATATTCTTTCATATAAGTTATGTGATCCAACCACAATTTTCCATGAAAAAGTCACACAGACAATCTAGCATACATGACACCTAGTGTCTTACATAGTATAGTGAGAAACTCACCTGATCACTGAGCTGAAATCCTCCACTCGAAAATCCCACATAATCAACTACACAAACCTCCTAACCAATCATTAACCAAACCTCAGGATACCACTCAAAACCTCTCCAAGTTTAGCTAAAAGTCAAACTTGTCAAAAGTCAACGGTCAAGGTCAAAGTCAACTCAACATGTCATCACATCGTGGCCAACTAATGGCTACGTCGTGGTTATCCAACGACAAAACAATCGTGATGATTTATGCCACCACGTTGTGGTTTCTATTCAGAAACAACTTAATGGATTAATCCCTTAATCCATTAAGCCTCATACTTATAGCTTCCAAAAAGCTTCCTTACACTAAAATGTTTCATAAAAATCTTTGCTTTAAGGACATGCATGTCTTTTACTCAACTCATGTCAAAATAAGAGAAACGGGGTCAAAAAACCATGCATGAACTCAAAACTACATAACACTTCAGATCTGGAGCATCTAACCTTCTTGGGACCTCAAGGATCAATAAACTTTCCAACTTTATTGGATCCATCCACTCAAACCAACATAAACATGAAGAAATGTGCATAAAAACCTAAATCTAGAATATTAAATCTAAAAATAAGAGCTTTTGGACTTACAAAGTCCAAAAGATGCATCAAGGGATAAAGATGAGCTTGCTTGATGAATCCTTGCACCAGAGTACCTTATTCTTTATTTAAAGGCCACTAAAACACCAAAAAAGGCTTAGAAATAGAGGAGAAGGGATTAGAGTTTGCTTTAAGGCACTTGGAGGTGATAGAGGTGATGGTGGAGGTGGAGGTGGTGGTGACGGAGGCAAAGGTGGTGGAGGTAGTGGAGGTTGTGACGGTGACAGTGCCAATGACAGAGGTAGAGGTGGTAGAGGTGGAAGTTGTGGTATTGGAGGTGGTGGGGGTGGTTCTTTTTTGTTCACATTTAGCCTTTTTTTGTACTGGTCACATATTACCCTTTTACCTACATTAGTAGGTCTCAAGGGTAATATGTGAACATATTCAACAATTTGGATGATATATGGTGTACAAAAAAAGACTAAATGTGAACAAATCAAGAGTTCATTACCATCATGAGTCATTTTCCTTTTTTACAAGTTTTTCATTTTTATAAACTTACTGACAATAACTGACTAAGTTAAAAGTGTATTGATTTTTACAACAAATGGATCGCACATGAGTAGATACCGAGAACATAGAGGATATTTTCGGTGTTGTTTGAACAATTGATTTGTAGTTTTAGTTATATTATTTATAACTTTAAACAATTATCAAAATTTGTCACTTATTATAAAGGTTTAATTTTTTTTTTTATAATTTTATGTTTTTGAATTTAAATTTTATATTGGTAAATTTGGCTTCAATCTATTTATTTAATATGTTGGGTTGGATAAAAGAACATGTCAATTGGATATCAACCTTTTTATTTAGCAAAACTAAATCCTCAACATATGTAATTAAACATGTCAACTCAAAGAAAACCAACCTAACCCGACCCATTGTCAAACCCAGGGGTCCTCTTCGACACCTGGTCACAATGTCAAATTACTCCAAGAACATGATCGTCGTTTGGGAACATCTCAACTTTGTTAAAAGGACAAGTGGTAATAAAAAATCGCAATGCAAACAAAGTGGCATGCTACTTACATAGGAAGAAAATTTAACGATGAATCATGTCATTGAAAAATTATATTTGCAACAAAATTCGCAAGGATCCATACAACCATACTACAAAAGGCAAGTGCATCATTGAAATATAAATATTAATACTATAAGGATGTCCGTTGTTGTGATTCCTTATATTTAAATTTTCACGTAGTTAATATGGGTTATAGTTGTACTATTATATTATATTGTTCGAAATAATAGTATGAAATTATTATTTTTGTTGAATATCAGATCCAATAGACTCGCAAGGAAACCGACAAATAATATTGAGAATTATATATCAATTAGTAGTGAATAATAAATCCAATTATTATTAATATGATTACCGAGTTTCATCCAGAAACCAGATCGAACCTTCGTGATCAGATCTGATTATAAGAAAGGGGTAGAAATAGATTGTCCCATTATTGGAGGAAATTAAAAGAAAAAACAGTAGATAAAACCAACCTCATAGTTGTTGATGTCGTTTCGTGAATGACTGCATAGAGACATAGAAGCTCATGTCCTTAAAGATTTTTACGTCGCTCTAAGGTTGTAAGCTTCAGGGTAAACACCTAAGATTTGATGTAGTTTATTCTTCGTCCAACAACTATGGAAGAATGAATAAATGCAAAGCGATTACTCGAAAAAACAAAATTTGATGCAATTTATTCTTCGTCGTGCCCTATGAAAATATGACTTGATTTTCTCATTTAATGAAGTACGTTGCTATTTAGGACACATTTATCAAAAACACGATTGTGCTTTTTGAGAAACACGATCGTGTAAGTCCTTTGAAATCTGAAAAGTTGATTTTCGTCTCGGAAAAGTTGCGAACATGTAACACGACTGTGAAATGAAAAGCATGATCATGTAAATCTGTAAATGTGCGTTTCGGACACGATCTCTTCAGTTTCAGCAAATCTAGCCCATGTTCCAACTTACTCATATCTTTTAGCTCCATTAAGCTCCAAAAATGCATCTAAACTGCTTCCAAAATATTGCCTCACTCGAAATACCTGAAAACGACATAAAAATACGAACAGTATGAGAATTCTAGTTAAAAACATGAGCTAAACATTCTTTAAACTAATGTGTACAAAAATGCATAAAATATAGTACAAAATGCTAATAAAAACTAATATAAAAGATGAATAAAATGGCATGTAACAAGCACCCATAACACTACATACACACTATACTTATATAGTTTCAATTTTCATTATTTCATTCCCTGATTCACAAGTTTTTTATCTCTTTTCTCACAACCTAATTTCTCTACATAAAAATTATTGGGGTTTTGTTTTTTTTAACTCTTCGTGTAATGTCCCAAAAAGAGTGACATAAATTTTCGTTTTTAGATTAGTAAATCGTAAATACATAACATTTCCATAAAGCCAAGTTAATCGAGATTTATCAAAAACATCATTGAATCAGAGTAAATCACGGAATGCAGAAACATGTGGTGTGTGCTCTACAATCATCCCGAGCTCTTCCAGAAGAAAACTGAAGTACGTGAAACATAAACTGAAAACCGTAAGCACAAAGCTTAGTGAGTTCCCCAAGATACCACATACCACACATACACATACACATACTGGGCCCCCGCCCTACAACGGGCCTCGGCCTCGCCCGACATCAAGCCCCACTCAGATTACATATCTGTCATTCACAAGGCCCCGCCTGTCATTGGGCCGCGCCCGATACACATATAATCATATAACCCTATAATAATATAAACATATAACCTGACTAACACATTCCATAATCACAAAGACTACAACATACCATACAGTCATCGAGTCTCGCTCGACATCAGGTCTTGCCCGGTAAGCATAAAACATATACTCATAACCATCATACACTATACTCCTTAGGCCCTGCCTGGCATCAGGCCTTGCCCGGTAAGCATACCATTCCATAGCGCACGCAAGAGTTACGCAGGCATCTAGCATTCTAACATAAAAACCATGGGCCGGCATTGGTGCCTTCCACCCGCTAAACCCAGTGAGGAGACTCACCTCGCACTGCCAAATCACACAGACGATCCCTGGCTGCTGGCTGACAAATCCCCGAACTGTCGACATCAAAACAACATCCAATTAACAATTGGGGTCTAATCCATAATCCATAAATCCATACTTGAGGTAAAAAGACCATTTTACCCCTAACCTAGTTTGGTCCAAGACTGAGGCCTAAACTTGAAATCTAAAAGGCCTAAAACCAATTAATAACTCAAGGCCCATACTTGGCCTAATTTTCCAAATTGGGCCCAAACCCCTTACATGGGCCTTACCCTAATGCCCAATCATAACCCAACATAACTCATGGTCAACCCTGATCAAACTCCTGGTCAAAGTCAAAGTCAACAACCCATATTGACCAAACACGTCGTGTTGCCACTTGGACACGCCATGTTCTTCCATCATCCAGATAATCAGGAAATCCCTAGCCAACACGCCGTGTTTGCCCGAGATTCAACACCTCAACCATTAAGCACTTAATCCATAAAGGCATGGCCCCAAAACATAGATCTGACCTCCTTGAGCTGGATTATCACACAAAGTTGCCAACTTTACGTCCCTACATGACTAAATGAAGCTCTTAAGCTAAAAAGGGACTTAAAAGAGGGCTTAAAGCAAGCATGACACCATTCTTCACATAAAGCTTGCACCTTAATGCTCAAGGACACCAAAACAAACTCAGATCTAAAAGAACAATCCTTTAAACAGCCCAACTCATCCATAGACCCGAAAAGGAGACCAAAATCATAATAACTAGCCATGAAGAGATCTA